TGTTTTTTGGAGAATTTGTTATTTGTACTTTAATTGAATACGTATTTTTATGCCAATGGCTCACAACAGATGGCGTTGGTATTCATTCAAACAAGTGACAAAGTACAAAAGATAGTGACAAAATAGATGTCAGTAATTTATGTGCTGTCATCATTTTCAGTCAAATTTGAAGAAACATTAAAATTCATTCGGCTTCTAGAAAAATTCTATAATATACAGTACAGCTTTCAGAAAAAAGAAAGGACCAATTTCGAAAACTAAACAAAAACCAATTATTTTAAATTCTGGTTGAATTGAATAATAAACAATTTCACATTAAAAAAAGTAAATCGACTGAGACCGAGGTAACATACACATCAGTCAAATAAAAACCACGTAAGAGGTTTTGAACATTGGAGTAAACGCAAGGGAGTAGAATTTCACAATGACAGATCCAGCGGATTGGTTTAAAAATATGCCAATTTTTACAAAATATTGGCTAACGCTAACAGTTGTCATAAGTGTGCTGGCGCGATTTGGAATTTTGCCTGGTTATTTGCTGTATTTAGCACCCGAATTAATATTTCAGAAATTTCAATTATGGCGTTTACTTACTTGGTAAGTGTCAAATGTACACAGTAATGCATATGCCAATGTTTTAATCGGACTTTGTTCACACATTTAATGTTGTGCCATAATTTATTTATTTTTTTCTTTTCAGTGTATTTTTCTATCCAATGGGATACCAATTCTTGTTGAACTGTTACTTCCTGTACAGCTACTCATTACGATTGGAAAATGAACAATTCAAATCCACTCCGGGAGACTATTTTTACCTGCTATTCATAAACTGGGCATGTTGTGTGATTGTCGGACTTCTGTTCAAGTTGCCGGTAAAAAAATTTTTTTTAAGCAATTGACTTTGACCGAAATGGTGTTGACACACGAAAATATGTTTACATTTTTACAGCTTTTGATGGACCCGTTGATTTTGGCCGTGGTTTATGTCTGGTGTCAATTTAACAAAGATGTAATTGTTCGCTTCTGGTTCGGTACACAATTCAAAGCGATGTACTTCCCTTGGGTACTTTTGGCATTGAATGTGGTTTTGTCAAGTGGAATCGATTCATTGGTCGGAATTTTCGTCGGTCATCTATACTATTTCCTGAAAATCAAATATCCACAAGAGTTAGGCGGCATGTCATATCTAGACACACCTTCGTTTATGTAAGACAACAAAAAGAATGCAAAAAACAAGAGCAGTTGGACATTCCTTTTTATGACATTGATGAAAATCGCGACGCTACGTATTTGTTTGTATCCAAACAGTGTTTATACGAGGCAAAACGTTTTTAATTTCAATTATAATCGGTTGTTCTCTCTTGCGAACCACCAGTTGGGTGGTGTCACTGATCTAGCGTTTAAAAAATTTGCGCAAATATTCATCAATTCATAAAAAGTGATTTCTGTCCATTCAACAACTGCCAAACCACACATTTTATTTGACACTAACTGATTTTTATTTACAGCAAATCCTATTTCCCTGACGTACGTGGTGGTGTGCATGGTTTCGGTTTTGCACCACAAAATCAACGCAGAGATCAACCGGCTGCCGGTCAACAAAATAGATTCTTTAGCGATTCATGGGGTCGGGGTCGACCTCTTGGCCGCGATTAAACAAAATTATTTTTTCTTATATTAAAAACAACATTAAATGAAATTTTATTTTCGTTCCCATTTTTAATGTAATGTTATTATAAAACCAACTAAATGTACTAAAAATGTGAAAAATCTAAATTGACAAATCATTTGATTTGATGATCATCAAATCATGATTGTGATTTTTATTTCGTTCACAAACTAAATTTGAAGAGATTACTTATCAGCAATGGAATATTTTTGTATAGAGTCACCAAATTTGAGTTAATTCACTTCTTGCAGCCTTTTATTTTCACTCAAGAAACATTTTGAAGGGTAATCATTTTGGATGTAAACAATTGTCTATTTCACAAAAATAGACGCTGTTGCAATAAAATAACCACAACTTACGAAATATTTTAGATAAATACTTGTATTTGTATGTTTTGCATAAAAGGAAAATGTGAGCCATGTATACCTACGAAAAACCAAGAAATAAAAACCAAAATCTGATTATAAAAATCAATTGCGTTTGTTGTTTTTTTTTTCGATGAAAAATGTTTTCAACTTTTCACACCGTAAAAATTGCACGAAACAAAAATAATAATTCAAGTCGTGCCAAAGCAATAGCAAAATATGAACACAACAACGCAACGTATAATAATTTCACAATATATTTATTGAACTATTGTATCGGTCATAAACAATGGATTTGTTTACATAATCATCGAAAATACCTATTTACATAAAATGTTTTCTATTTCAAGTGTAAGTCATCAAATGATTGAAAATAAATATGAATTGTTTAAAAACGAAATAAATTTCAGCATAACGTTTATCGAACGTTGATTTTTTTTTCATGAATACGTATAACGGCATGCCGTTTATTTGGTACGAGTATTATTTCAATTCTTTGTAGAGTTTATGCAATGTAAAAGATAGACGATAGACGGGCAGCCCGATAACGGTAAAGAAATCGCCGTTTATGCGTTCGACAAGCGTTGATCCAATGTGTTGTATTCCGTAAGAACCCGCTTTGTCACTGTGAAAACATTCAAAGTTTGATGAATATTAAAAAAATGTTTATTTTTATCCACAAAACAGACTATCTAAACAAAATCACTTACAGTGGTTCGCCTGTATCGACATAAGCTTGGATTTGTTCTGTCGTTAATTTTCCAAATTGAACTTCTGTGCTTTCGGTGAATTTTTCAATATGATCCCCATATTTGATAGCGACACCAGTGAAAACAACGTTCGTTTTTCCGTTGAGCCTAAAAAATTGCACAATTTTCAATGATTGCACACAAATCAATGAATATTTCTACTAAATCATACATACTTGTTCAATGTTTCAATGGCATCTTCTTTGTTCTTCGGTTTTCCATACATTTCACCATTTAATGCAACCATTGTGTCGGCTCCAATGACAATGTCTGCTTTCGATTTTCCATCGATTTCTGCTTCGGCATCTAATCGATTTGTCACTTCCAGAACCTTTTGCAGTGCGGTCTCTTCAACAAATTCGGAAAAACTGTTGAAATCTTTCGGATCAAGATTTTCCTCGAATGTCGATGCACATGATTCAACATTTAAGCCCTGCACACAAATAAATCACTTAAAATGATGAAAAATTTAAGAAATTTTCGGCTTACAATGATTTTCAAGAGCTCCTTGCGACGCGGTGAACTGCTTGCAAGCACAATACGCTTGGAATTCAATTGAGATATGATTGGTAACATGATTGCAATAAAAGTAAAAAAAGTCCTGAGTTAAAATTCAATGTTGACAGTTTTTCAATCGGACGGACAACCACAATGTGTGCCTTGCTCGCGGGAAGCAGAACAGTTAACTAAATGTGTATATAATCAACCATATGGCTATCAACCGAGTCTAACGATTAAACGTCAAACAGCTGATATTGTGAATGGGTCACAACATACCACATGTCACATTTGACAATTTCAAATGAGAATTCTATTTACGATTCAATGTAAACACTTGTTTCAACTTTCGAATGGAATGAAAACATCGAAATATTTTTCCTTTATTTTTATTGGCATTTAAATTTTTATAGTATAAATGACGGCCTAAGAAGAAAAAAATAACATACAGAATATTCTGCAAAAAGACGAATTCAAATTTATGTGAGCAAAAACCAAATATACAAACAGACAGCGCAAAAGTAAAACAGCCTACTTACATGTGTTTCTTATGTAAGTAGGCTGTTTTACCTTTGCGCTGTCTGTTTGTATATTTGGTTTTTGCTCACATAAATTTGTATTCGACTTTTTGCAGAATATTCTGTATGTTATTGTTTTCTTCTTAGGCCGTCAAATGATTGGATTTCATGCAAATGATTGGTATTTCTAATCAATCCAAGTGGATCTTAACTAAATAGACCGAAATAAAAAAAAACTGGATAATAATGCATTCATGCCTTTGGTTATTTTCATAAATTGACGACCAAATCGATTTTATTGCTCAATTTTGTTTAATTTTTATGCATTAGGCACATTCCATCTGTATTTATGGAAATAATTCCATTCTATTTTCTATGTTATATTTTTCGTTTTGCTCAAGCTAACGCCGATTATCAAGTAATTCAATCATTTACGCTCACATAAATGACGATAAAAACATTTGTCAAATATAAATTTGTTATTTGTAGCGTCGAAGGGTGGCCGTCCAGGAAAAAGGAAAAAGTACATGGAAAATCAAACAGTCGAATCACCACAAATCATTAATTATGAATGTACGCATACATGGTGCGGCTAATGCGCATCGATATTCTTATCAAACGGAAATATGAATATTGAACCAAAACGTCATCAATCAAATGTGTTCCATTGGGGCGATTCATTTTTTTTAATTGAACATTTCTGATTTGATTAGCTCACGATCAGCAGCCAGTATTTATGATCTATTTGCATTGAGAAAATTGCATTTTAAAGCGATGGAGAGTCACGACTTTGATCGAATGTACTTAATGCATGACGTGCAATTTACACTGCAAATAACGATGAATCGATCGACTTAATTGGCGTATTGTGAACTACGTTGATTGAGTGTTAAAAATTGAAATGTATCTGAATCAATCCATAAAAAGGAACTCTGTATTTGGGTTAACCCTCTACTGTGGGAGACCGCAGTGAAATGGAATTTTAACAAATCGATAAAAAATTTTCTTCCAGATTTTCACCATAACACTAATATATTTTTGTAAGTATCCCTCTAACCTCTACCTACGTCAATTTTTAATTTGTGTCAAGTATGCATACATGTGAAAAATCGTGTGAAATTCTTCTCTCAGTAAAAACTGAGTTTCAGAGTAGCAGCGAGTAGAATAACGAAGCAGCAGAGGGTTAATGCCTATATCGACCAAAGTTGAATCAAATCGAATCGTAAATTGTGCACAAGCTTTTGTATAATATTGATCATTTAATGATGAAAGTAATTAACGTCGTCGACTAACCAAAAATAGTAAATAGTCATGCAATAAAATAGCATCACAATTTTTGAGAACGAATACGTTCAATGTAAAATTCATCATTAAAACGGAACGCGCGCGAAAAAAACGGTTAAATTGTGTGATAAAGGAAGCAAACAATGAATTTTTGGAATGTGTTTGTTTTTTAATTGAAATTATGATCTCGCCCTCAATTATATTCTAAAAATAAATTTTTTTGTTCAAGTAAAGTAGCATCACGTCATACACAAAAATTCTTTACATTTGTCGATTTCAATTTTAAATTATTTGCGGTATCTTCAGATTAATCGAAAACGAACAACAACAAAAAAACTGACTGCAACAGTATGATTTTGAAATGTTGAGCTCGAAGACGTGACGTTCGTATACACAAACAAAAAAAACAGCATTGCGATGCAGAAATTGAGTGCCGTCTTTTATTTCGACTTTATTTGCCTACATCTGTTTTGCGCGTCTGCAAGTCGATGCGGCGGCAGTGTTTGGGTGTTTGCACTCTTGAAAAGCACTGCATATATTTCGAAACTTAGACACACTTAAAATTAAATTCAGACTCACTTTTGTTTAAAATCTTTGAAAAATTTGCTGTTTTAGATGATAAAAACCCTTTCCTCACACTGCACCAACAAGAAGTGTATAAAAACAAAATGCAACCAATTTTTGGAGAGCGCACAAAAGAACTACGCACACCTTACAGAAAGCAGCGGAGACAAAAAAAAATGGTAGTGAATCACTCGCGATGTAAATACACACTGATGTTGGCAGCTATAAAAACGATCGATCTGACCTGTGAGACATACAATACATACAAACAACTCGATACAATAAACCACGGTAAGCAGCAAAACAAACCAACACGCAGCCCATAATGAAAGCAAACAAGCGAAAGAGATGAGGCATACACACAGAAAAGCGAGAAAACAACAAAAACAGTTGTATGTGATCGGCGACTTCGTCGATATTGTATTGCTACAAAAAAAACGTACACCCAATACTCATCCAACAAAACAATAGGTACAAAACTTACACTTTAATGTCGAGAAGATGGTGATAATGGAAACAACAACTAGAGTTCTTTCGTTCGGAATACACAATGCGCACAATATTTCCATATGCAGTGTTTAATGAATTTGGTCTACTGTTTTCAAGTACTTTATTGTGTACATTGTTTTCGGCACTCAATCCATGATGAAATAGGTTTGTTGTTTTTGAAATAAGTCGACGCTATTTTTTTATAAGTAAACAAATTACATATGAGGACTAATTTTATTGAGCACACAATCTGTGTGCCAATTGTTTTTACGCCGAATGACTGCGATAAATAATTTGACGGTTAAAGGTCATTCAAAAATCTTATCGACAAAGAGTTCAGAAGAAAAATTATGAATTCACTCGATGCGACATGGTCAATATATAATAATATCACATTTTTCAAATTCGAAAGACTAACAAAAACAGACGCACACACATACACACATACATGTATATAAACATGCAGCGCACAAAACGTTGCATGTTCAACGGTGTCGTCGTCGTCGTCGCCACTCATAAAAATCTCAATCCAAAAACCTTGTGGCTTGAATTCGAAGCAAAAACTTGCCCACCACTTACTAACATTCATCGTCTCTATCGTATTCTCTCTCTCTCTGGTAACTTTAACTTTTGAACACAAACTGCACGCATACATTATTCGATTTTAAAAACACAAGCCAACTGCCTATCTTGGTTTTGTTTTGTTTTGAGTCGAAGTCGTAACACACGCGTGTATATGCAAAATATGTATGGTTTGGGCTGTGCACCGTATTTCATGCTTGTTTGTGCAATATTCATTGGGTTAATGTGCTTCGATGTTTAGTTCCTTGGCGACATACCACGGCTGTCTTTCACTGCTTCTTTTTTTTCTGCTGTTCAATGTAAAAACATAGCTGAAAGTGTGTATTTGCTTTCGCTTTTAATTGCAATTTCTTTTTAACTGAAAAAAAATTCTTTGAACGAAACTATGATCAAAATGCCGTTTTCAAGAACAGGTTTTCGCTCAAGCATTTTGAAGTTGAATGGGGATAAATTGGTCATTTAAAATAGCGATTATGATTAATGGGCAAAAATTTACATGACTATATTTGGAAATAATCAATGGAGCAAACGAAAAACGAATTATGACTATTGACCAAGTTGAATGGACGCTCACATTTCATTGGCACAAAGGAATTATCTTATGTTTGAATGTCTTCACTGCACATTGGACATTGATTCAATAGAAAATATACATGAGCACACTGAAATAGAACAACCATCATTGAAACCGCAGTTTATTGCCAAAAAAACCATTAGTATGATGTGCTGTATGTAAGAACCAAACGAAAAAAAATCCCACGCGAAAATGTTTCATTCGCATTGAATATTTAGCAGATAGTGACGAGGAAAACAACAACAAAGATTATTTAATTTGCAATAAGGATGATTTCTCTGCTAAAAGAGACTCTGATGAAAAATTCATTCTATCCAATTTCTTTTATTTTCATTATTAATGCAATATTATTTTCAATTTGTAAAAGTGTAATAGAAAAAAATATTGCAATTCGAAACTTTACATTGTTTGTTTGCATACCAAAAATAAAATACCAGTGTTTAATGTCGTTGGTTAAAAATAAAGTAATATTTTGAATTTTATTTTTCGCATATTTAGCAAAAAAAAAATTTTAACATAAAAAGTAATTACTCAAAAATTAATTGGTTTTTTTTATTATTTGGTTGTCTTTCTTGGGGTGGACGTATTTAATTGATTAAAACGAACTCACCATTTTTTAAATTGAAAAATTTCTTTTATTTTTTCCCTTTCCAATTCATAGTGTAACATAAGATGATATCAAATCTACAAATGTTATTTTTTATATAAAATACAACTTCTTTTTTAAAGAAAGAATGAAATGTTCTTATTACTATGAGAAAATATCGATGGAAAAATGCAAGGGAATATGTTCATGTTAAAATGGCATTTTGTCGTCCTCAGGATAGATCTGCTTTTATCAAAACTCCCGTCTTCGAATCAAAACCAAACTGAACGATCTTTTAGTTCAAAAATTACTCTTCGGTCTAAGCAAACTTAGACTGAAAAATATTGTGCAAAGGTTTGTTTCATAATAAAAATGAAAAACAGCAATTTTAATCCTTTTTATGCTATTTATGCAATTGTATACATTACATATTTGATTCATTATCAAAAATGACATAGCCTAGGCTAACTTATAAGAAAATTCAATTCTTTCGAATCATCACATTTTTTTTTGTTTAATACGTGCTTCAATTATTGAAAAATCTTCCTCTGTTGCATACCTTCGAATATATTTTAAATATACGGTTTTAGTTCCAGTAATTCTGCGTAATTTGATGGGTGCGCGAATTTTTCTCATTTCACATAATCGTAATTTCATTTCCTCCACATTTCTATGGAAAATATATAATGAATTTGTAATTATATTCGCTGTAAGGCCAACTTCACTCTGCCAAAAATCCAAATGAGTTTTAATCTGCAATAAAAACAAACAAACAAAATAAAAAGAAATCCTTATACGATACGACCCGTTGCCATTAAATCATTTACCTTTAAAGCGGAAGATTGTTTTAATGAGAAATCCCTTTTCAAAGCGTCTTTAAGATCATTTTCACTCCAACCTAACCGGTTTGAAAGATAGTCCATGCTATTTGCAAATCCATCAAGCGACTTCTTTTCTTCAAGACGTCTTTCTAAACACCTGTAAATGGATATTTCGAATTTGGTTTAAAAAAATATTCTTTTTCTTTTATCATAAACGTGTCATACAATTTGAATTCAAGTGAATTGAAACGGTCAATCATATACGCCGATATTTTATCGAGGCCGGTTTTTTTAAGACTTTTGATTCTGTGGTCAATTTGTGCCACGCTATAGAGTTTGTAGATCGTTGAAAATGACAAAATAGTTGTACGATCTACGCCATGTTTCAGAAGAACATCTAACTTTGGTTTGAGAACATTTGGCATGGTTTTAAAGAAAACCTCACTTTTTGCAGCAAAACTAGCGGCAACCTCAGTGACTGGTATCTCTAGTTTTGCGCTAAAATAATAAATCGGATGATCATTTCCAATGGCGTTTAATTCAACGAGATCACGCTTATATTTTTCCAATACAATCGCGTCGGCAATTAGCAAAGGAATGAAGTCTGCAATATTATTCGGTTTCATTTGTTGCACGATATTTATTTTCTCCTTAATTTCATCTAAAAAACATTTGGAATTTAAATAGCATCACAAAATAAAATTCAATCCATACCAATGGGCATAGTGAGCAAAAATCCATTTTTCCTAATTGTCACTTGGTCGATTTTCATTTCCAATAAATGGTTGACATTCTTTTCTGTCACAAGTAATTCATTCAAGTCATATACATGACTATAATATAGCTGAGACGATTCAAAATGGTCACCACCTAATAACGACATCAACGACTCAACGATTGATTTTTTGTCTGTGTTAAGATTCTGTATTTGTATCATCATTTCGGCGGATAAGGCAGTCCCTTTTTCGGCTCTTTCCAATTTGTATTTTTCAATTAACCTGTATGTAAAAAGACCAAAGTAATGAAGCTTTTCCACTTTGGCTAAATGTCGGTTAAATTATAGGATTTCATGGAAGCATGCATAAAAGATAATTAGCAATAAGCCAATGCTGATACAAGATTGTCCGAGAATGAATATGAGATTTCTCCTGAGATTTGAATGAAGTGTAACAACTGTTTCTCAAAGCAGTAAATCAGAGACTGTTTCTCCTTCAGTTGCTCATAACGCTCCTCCTGACATATATTACTGTGAGAAACAGTCTCTGAAAAAATCCCAATTTTCATATGGTGTTGGTGGTGTCACATTTGAATAAAATCTCAGGAGAAGACTAACATTCATTTTCGAGCATATATTTGTTAACATACTCATCGAACATTTCTTGTGACCAAGTAAAATGCCACCCTTTCAACGGCCTTCCAGTAGATAGTACACATTCAGAACGACGCAGCAACATTTCAGCACTGCACCCAAGAACAAACAAATTGGTTGCCAATATCATTGGGTTCATGCCATAGTCCATCAATAATCTTAATTTTTTGTCAAAATTTTGAAATGTTGTACATGATAAATCACATTTACCATTGGCAATGGATCTTGCAATCACTTGTGGTTCAACCTGCAATTATTGATAAAATGTTTGTTGTAAAATATCGAATTTGACTTATTTTGGGGGAATAACAAACCTGAAGACGTTCGCTCAAATAATAAATACGATTTGTGTGTCCATGAATTGCAGGTTCATATTTATCCTTCAATAATCCGCCAACAAGTTTCTTAAGTTTAAAAGTACTGAGTCTTAATAACGGTGCAAAATCATCAAGACTCTTCGGCTGCAATGATTTTAACACATCTATCTTTTTGTCCACGTATTCTAAAATTAATCAATTACAATCATTTCTATAGACATTATTCAATACAAACACGAACCGATATCTATTGTGAGGAGTGATGGATTCTCGAATATTGACTCTGCCGACAGATTTGCACGAAGAAGTTCCAGTGTATCTGTTTTAATTGCATTAATTTGCCGTAACGCTGGAAAATCACTATAAATCTGTGCAGCAATATCTTCCGTACAACATAATTTGCGAGAAAGGTTTGCAATGGCCAGATATTCCTGCGGTTTTGATGTGAAGGTCCGTTGTTGTTGATGGACCATGTGCTTCACTTGTAGATATGTTGAAATTACAGGTTGTATGCATTTTTGGTTGTTCCAAACGTAGCTTCTGACAATATTTATTAAGAACATTATTGATTGATTATTATATTTTGATTAAGAGAAATAGAAGAAGAAAACAGAAGAATTTCTTAATAAGAACTATTTATTGCATCACCCTCCCCGTTAATTTTAGATCCACAACTATCAAAGTAATTGAATCAGTTGTCAAAATGTACAAATGTCAAAGTTTCAAATTGGTTATAACAGCACCGTTCAAATGAATCTAACATCAATTGAGAGGATGAGAGTAAAAACA